ATAGCACAGGAGCATAAAATGCTATTATTCCAATATTTTTTTATTCCAATAAACATCAATTTCCTCATACATTCATACTACTTCGTAATCAATTACCGAAGACGAAACAAAACAAGAAATCGCCTAAAAGACAAAAATATAACTGTAAAATAATTAATTATCTAATTACAAAAAAAGAAACCCCTGCGAGTTGCAGTTTGAATAGTCAACACCCAGCAAGGAAAAAGGTTCCCTCTTCCCTTTTCCCTCCTCTGAATCACCATTCCTGAGATAAAAGCAAATGACGAATTCACTGTCAAAACAGCTCTAAATCTAAGAAAACGACTAGAGATCGGAGCAGATAGTAAATAAGTTAGTGGATTATAGCTCTTATCAAGGGGGTTTGATGGCAGAGAAACTAGACTCTTCCGCATCAACGACGGCTTTGCCTCGGCCTACAACCATCACCCTTCCTCCTAGGCCGTCGATGGATACTTTCTTCTCCGGCGGGCTGAGCCCGGGGCCGTTGACTTTGGTCTCAAGCTCCTTCAACGACAGTTACCCGAGTACAAACAATTTGACATATGAAAAGAAACCCAAAATTGGTAATGTCCTTATCGGTTTGGACGTTTGGTTTCAGTTAGAACCGATCGAAGAAGGGAAATTGATATTGCAACCCTTGTCACAGCTCCTCCATTGTTGATTATATTCCACTATCTCGTCACTTTCCTCATGATGTGGCAGGGAGGGAGTGAGACTCGATGAAGGGATCCCAATATTTCCATGATGATGAGCTCTCGGGATGAGGTGTGTTCATTAAGTTTGTAGTGAGTACAAATTATTTGCCTCCAACCATTTGTACTAGGATGCTTATCTGGGTCCTGAATGATCTTTCTTGAAGTCCATTGATATATCTAATATGTTTTTGTGGTTGAAGGTGTGCATATTCGGCGGTTATATTAAGGCCTTTGTTGTGAGGTGCCAACATGGTTGAACGATCATTATATCTTTGTAATTGCATGCTTCAAGGTGCCAACATTGTTAAACGATCATTTGATCTTTGTAACTGCATGCTTCCCTCAAGCCTCTCTAACTGAGTTAATCTATGAGATATATAGTCTAGATATGGTAGATGTTTTGTCGATAGTTCTCATTTAGACACTCCAGAAATTGTATATTGTTGCTAGTCTCCTGATACTCATTGAGTGTGAGCTTACAATCCTAGTCAACATAATCTTCACTATTGTAATTACTAATTAGGCATAAATCCTCATTCCAAATTTTAATCAAATGAGTAAAAATACTTATATATGGTTTAATTATATTCCTTTAAGGGTGCTGGGACATCCTGTAACTTCCCAATCTTGATGAGAGTGCAAACCTTTTCGACAGGTTTTTCAATACTTGAGAGGCACTTTTGAAGTTGAGCAGGCTCCTTCTCATAGAATCGACCATGTCTTATTAGTTAGCTCCATTTAGTCACTCTAAAACATGGAACTGATCAGAGAAGAACGCAGATCTGGATGAGGAAGGACATAGGAGAAAGAACATGGCCTCGAAAGAGTCCAAGTAGCCCCAAGGAGTGGTGTACCTATGCAGTTTGAAGATGAATATTGCTGGGATAATGGTTGTTTAAACTTATATAGATCTGTGGAACTCTAAACTATGATATTTCAATTGGAGTTTCCCTCTCTATAACTTTCTTCTTTTCCTTTCATAATTAATAAATTGGTATCATCATTATTGGAAACAAAATTGTTTAGACAATACTTGTAAATGTCGCCCATAAATTATATAGTGATTTTTAATGTGTCAACACAAATGTCGAATGTAAATGTAGTAAATGAAACATGTTGGAATACATGTAGAAAAATGTAGATGCCAATGTTTTTCATAAATGTCGTAAAGTTTGTAAGAAAGATAATTTGATTTTTTAGAGACAATTTGATATGTTGTAAAATGTAGATATGAATGTTTTTGTAAATGTCGCAAGATTCCGAAGTCACATTTTCATATATCGAAATAAATGTCGAAAGATATATGTATCTACACTTTGTGTAAATATCGAAAGGATCTATAGTCGCATTTTGTCTGTAGAAATAAAATATCAGAAGATATATGTACCAACACATTTTATAAATGTCGCCAGTTTCTACTGTCACATTTTATTCTGTCGAAATAAAATGTCGGACGAATTGAGCTACCAACACTTTGTGTAAATGTCGCAAGGTTTTAAAGTCACATTTTCATATGTCGAAATAAAATGTCGTAAGATAGATGTAACAACACATTTAGGAGATGTCACAAGGTTCTATAGTCACATTTTCATATGTCGAAATAAAATGTCGGAAGATATATGTACCGACATTTGTTTGTAAATGTTGCAAGGTTCTACAGTCACATTTTCATATGTCAAAATAAAATGTACGAAGATATATGTACCGACATTTTTTTGTAGATGTCGCAAGGTTCTATAGTCACATTTTTATATGTTGAATAAATGTCGGATAATGTAGGTACCGATAGTTTCTGTAGATGTCGCAGTAACTGTAAGCGACAAAATAAAAAACGACATTTGAATGCAATTAGTCGTCATTTTTCATAATTGTCGGTGCAAAACTACACCGATATTTTGACATCTTCAAAGCGACCTTTAAAAATGATGCCATAAGCAATTTTTTTGTAGTGTGGCGGAGTTCCTCTTCTATCACTCTCATCATGTTGCTATCTTATTACGTTAAAACATGGCCTAGGCCCTTTCTTGGGAGTTGTTCAATCGTGGATCACATACCATTGAACACTAACACACCCACTAAAACGAAAGGGCTTTCCTTTGCACATTGTCCTGAATACGAGAGTACATGTGTTTCACAAATGGGGTCACCGGGATTTAGGGGTGGACAATGTGCGGGTTGAGTGGGTTTTGGTCTCAAATTGACCCACCCACTTACTAGCGGGTTGAAATAATTGTGACCCGCAAGTCACCCACATACTTCTCCGGGTTGGGTTGAGTGGGTGGCGGATAGGTGCGGTTGGGTCGCGGTTCAACCCGCAAAATCAATTCGTCAACTAGCCATTAAGAAAGTTGACTAAAATTTATAAGTTCAAAGCAAAATTAGTAAGATTGTATCATTAATGTGTGATTTTGATATAATTAATAATTTATAGTTTGCATCCCAATATTTAATGGTTATTAACAATAATCTGCATACCAATATCCAATATCTAATTAATGGATATTGCACAACACAATGACCAATAATAGTAGTCAAAACTATTATTTATTCTTCACCTTTTGAAGTATATGGTCAGACTATAGTGAACTTAATCATCTCATATCTCATTCCGTTAAAAAAAATTACGGGTATTTGGATACCCGTAACCCTAAAAAAAGGGATGGGTATGGGTATACCCAAATACCCGTTTCCCGTTTTCCACCCCTATATACCACTCATTTCAACATATGGTATGGTGACAAATTTACATTACCACTAGCAAAAGTCCGCTCGCTTGTTGATCCAAAAGTGAAAATAATCATATTTTATTCTTAATAATTATTTTCATAGGTTTGTTATTTACAATAGCATATGGTCGATGAACTTGCATAAGGTAGAAGTGTCGTCGAATAAATTATTTATGTTTAAACTTCTTTCATGACGCCAATGTTTCAATTTGTATGGCTAGTAGTTGATCCTGCTATAACTTTGGCAATATGAAGCAGCTTCTTGGATCTTTTCAAATTAGGTTGAATACCCATGGAATTGGGTTCAATTGTCTTTCTCAAACAAAAGGATAAAGCAAAATGAAAAACACTAAAGCTAAAACTCGCTACCGACTCACAACTCGTCAACACCAGGTTCAACTCCCTTTGACCTGTTTGGATCGAGTTTTGGACAAATTCACACCTGACACAACACGCCAATTACAAAAACAGATAAAACTCGCTCCCGCCGAAAACTTGTAAAATCGGGTTCAAATCGCTTTAATCGGGGGTCGAATTAGGTTGTATACCCATCTGTTTGGACTCAACTGTCATTCTCAACCAAAAGGAAAAGGATAAAAAAAATACTAAAGCGGCTAAAACTCTCTCATTACCCAAACATAAAGGAAAAAGTGAAAGAAAAAAACACTAAAGCGAACGAAATTCGGTCCCGATATAAAACTGATGGTAGCGGTCTTGGCAAACGATGGTGGGGAACAACTTAGGATTCCGTTGACAGTATTTCGAGATGGGTTGCAGAATTATGGGCAAAGGAGATACCCATGTGTTTGATTTCAATTGTGAACATGCTCAACAAAAAGGAAAAAAGAGAGGAAAAACATTAAAGAGGATGAAACTAGGTGTCGATACCAAACTCGTGGTAGCAGCTTTGGGAAACGGTGGTGGGGAACAACTTAGACTTCCGCTAACAATATTTCGAGATGAGCTGCAAAATGGTGGGCAAAGGCGATGTTTGTGCAAAAAGCAAAAAACCATAGACGAAAACCTAGCGAACTTTAACTAAACACAAATGCGATGATTTGTGTAAAAATTCATAGACGAAAACTTAGCGAACAATAACAAAACACAAATGCAATGGTTTGTGCTAAAAACCATAGAAACGAAAACCTAGCGAACAATAACTAAACACAAAGGTTGTAGAATGGAGAGTAGAATAAAGAAGGGGTTGGAACTTCCCCACTTGCACTTAGAGGAGTGTGAGAACTACTAATGAACAATAACTCAAATCTAGGCTTTTATATATTATTAATTTGCGTGCATGCCAACTTCATAAAAGGAAGAGGCCGACTCGATCGAGGTGATTAAGTTGATCTTCTTACTTCATTTTCCCAACACTTTCGCGCGCAAATACCACACGGCTAGGCAAGCTATGTTGCCCCCACTATTATAACTTATATATTTCTTCTTGTTCAGCACCATCAGATTAATCAATCGTACGCAACTGCAAACACAGCCACACACAAAAACGGCTCTTTCTCAACCCTACTATATATAATGCATGCTAAGTACTAACCGTAAATGTCAATCACAGCGCATATTTTTCCGGAGGAAAGTAAACACACTACATAGCTAGCTAGTAATGGCGACTCGCACTACTCTCCAAAAGCTTGTTTTGGCAACTCTCGTCGCAGCCGTAACTGTTGGCCTGAATTTCGCCGCCACATTCCACTCGGCGGCCTACAACTGCGAGGAAGGGACGGTTGGGTCGGGCTCGGATCTCGACAAGGCCAGGCATCGGGTCCTCGACGACCTGCTCGACAACACGACGCCGGAACAAAGTTCCTACTGTGCCGCCTCAACCGTCGGCGAGGGATACGCGTACGGCTGCGCTACTTGCGACGCAAGTAAAGTGACGCACTGTGACGACTGCCTCAGCTACGCTCAGGATTTCTTGGATGATATCTGCGAGCACTCCGTCGGCGGTGAGGTTGTGGTCGGACCTGTCGTTTGTTCCATGCGGTTTCATGCCGGTCCCGTCTGATCTCAATGTGCTACCTATAATGACATCCTGTTAATGAAGCTGAAACTGCTGTGATTTCGTCGGATCTCAGCTAGTCGTTTAATTTGAGTTTCCATGTGCACCACCTTGGCCTAGCTAGCCTTTGTATCCCAACTTGTGTCCCAGGTCTGATGTTTGGCTGCGTACGCTGACAACTGGGGCACATAGAATGATGAATAATAATAAGTTGGATAAGAATTTTTTTTTATCAAAAAGCTAAATGAATAAATAATATTTAGTTGAATTATGATTAGATTATAATTTTAGTATAAATATTTTACTGTTGATTCTTTTTGACAACTTTCGATAGAATATTAGGATTTTAGAATTTCTATTTCTTGAGATTGATAATATATAAGTGAGAGTGGTCGAAGCCTGCACTTTTAATTAATTTGGCAGTGTGGACTTAGTGGCATTTTAGCCCCTCTACTACACTACTTTTACTTCTAATCTAATATATAAATCAAAATTGCCCGACATGACAGGTCTCATCTTTGTTATTGAGGTTCCCACCGTTTCTTTAATTACAAATTGAACTCCCCATAAAAATAAATAAAATAAAAGGATAACTAGTTCAAGGTTGGGAATTTTGTGCTAGGATATAAAACTAAACTTACTATGTTCAAAATTAACTTAAATAAAATTAACTTCTTGTAAAATAAGCACTTGGAGAATTCACAAGTTGTCAAATTGAACAATTTTTTTACAAACAAAAAATTTAGTTAATGATCTATTTATGATGTTATCTCTCATATTTTAATGTTTTTCTTTTATTCAATAATTCATTTTTTAATTTTGTATATTATATCTATTCTATGTTTTGTAGCAATAGACTAATGTTTGTAGAGTGATACATATTGCATTTGTTCAAATCAATATATCTTATTAAACTTTATCAAGTAAATTTTCTACTCATTTTTACTAAACATAATAATAAGTTACACTTCATTGAAAATTTTAAACAAAAACATAAATAAATAAAAATATAATTTTATGGATTAAAGAAAATATAACGCAGAAAAGAGAGAAAATAATTGTTAGACAATTGACTTTCAAAAGTGAACTATATTATTTTATATTTTGCTATTAAACCCTCACTTATATCTAATGTATATGTTTATAAAATAAAACAAGTATTGTATAGCAAAATGTCTGGATAGAAACTTGACGATGTACAAGTATTATATGACATGTATGAATGTTAGAGTAATATTTCTTGACGATGTACGATAAACATTATGTTTAATCAACCACTGACCTAGCATTGGTCAAAGTGTCAAAACAAAAATGTTTAAGGTTGTAAATTGTAATAGTAAGGAATATGTATTTAGATCGAGTTATCGTAGCCACAAAAAATTATTTTCATATTCCACTGAACGAGGTGATTTCAAATGTCTTGATAATATGTATGGGAAATTTCACAATGTTTGTATGAGTTTTAACACTTTTATAAAAAAATAAATTTTCAAAAAAATACTAATTTAATATTTCAAATAATATAAAATTTTAATTTGAACTCGTTAATAATTGGTTGAGAGTTTGTCCTAGCTTGAAAATCACAGATTTTTAATGTTTTATAAGATAATAAATTTGAGTACTTTGACCGATAAATCTTTATATACTACTTTAAAGGGAATGTGATATTCCTTCACAATATAATTTATGATTAGAGAATCGAATCATTATAGGTGAGCGTGCTAAGTATTGAGAATTGTTAATATAAACATATCACATACTCACTTATGAAGTAGAGCATAGAAAAATTAGAAAATTATTTTTTAAAATATATACATAAATTAATTGATAAAAGAAAGAAAACAAACAACAATTTAGGTTCAAATATTGAATTTCATTAAGTTAGAGGTGAGTACATATTTATACAGTGATACAACTTAATATCTTGGCATCCAGTTCGAGTTACTCTTTCGAATCGGACCGACCCAAACTGAAATTGTACGATAATCCGTCGGAGTTTGAAAGGCAAAAATCAATATTTTGGAAACCAAGGTCTATAAGATCAAATGAGAATTATAATTTTTTACCCTTCAACCTCCCGAGCCCAAACTCAAGCCCACTCTCCCATCCCATAGCCTAAAGTTATTAGTTTGCTGCCTAAAGCCCACTCTCTGCTGCAATCCACACTAACACTAAATTTAATTTCCCAACCTCTCAAATTAGGCTTTTTAGCTTTCCAAACCCCATTTTCACTCCAACCCTACAAAACCTAAATTTAGCTACCTTCCCTTTTTCAATTTATTTTAATAATCCATAATTATTTGGCTTCTAATTTTATATTTCACTTTAAATTTTTTTATAATTCGTCTTATTACTTTTGAAAAAAAATTATCAGTGTAATTTTTTTTTTAATTCTGACAAAATAGTTTGAAAATTAGTAATTAGTTACCGTCAACTTCGGGGCTACTACAAATATGGCCTTTTTTCTAGTCGTTACTTTAAGACCATTTTTTGTCATTTTTTGCACATATGTCTTTATAAATGATAGTTCTTCATTTTTCATCAACTCATCTGAAACTCCTTCTCATTTATTAAAACAAAAACTTTCATCATGAGTATCTCAGATAACTCAATGTTTGGAGGAGACGAAGAAATAATAGAATACGAAAGGTTTCACCTTCTACATTTGATTATAATCGGTCGGTGGTTGGCTAAAGGTTCATCAACTTGACGTCAAACTACAAGCCGAACTCACATTGATCGTGAAAGGTTCGTGTGTAATCGACATCTTATGAGGGATTACTTCGATCCAAATCAAGTATACAATACTCGCATATAAAGAAGGCGCTATCGGATGCAGCCAAGATTATTCTCTAGCAACGGCGCAAAAAAAATGATCGCCTAATTCTAAGTTCGACTACTTAAGCCATGTGTACCTATCGTAGATGAAATATAGTGGCAAGCAATGTCGTATTCCACAGAGACTATGACTACTAGTACTGAATTCTTATTAATCAACCAATCTCTTTTCAAGTTCTTTCAATTAACTAAACTAACAAAGAAGACAACAAAATTCAACAAAGACAGAACGTGGCTACAAGGCAAATTCAAGCAAAGACATGCGTTGTTCAGACTTTGAATCCCCCTAATTGATTATACCCTTTTCAATTGGTCATGCATAGACTCGATTCAGATTCTTTGACCATAGGATTTCCCGAATGGGTATTAACCCGATATTCTCATGTATTAAGATACTATTAGTCAATTCAATCTAAGTCTGACTCTTTGGCCTTGATTGATTCTCCTAATGATTAAAGCTTTATGAATTCCCCTATTAGGTTTTACCCTAATCCAAAAGTCCCTCTCCTTCCATCTTCTAGTAAAAAGAGGTCCTCTTCATATATGATTGTTCTACACATCTATGGGAATCTTCTTCCAAAATACACACGAACATACAAGCATGCAATAGGCGTGGAACTAAAACATACGTACCCAAAAAATAATCCATAGACAAATCAACGATCTTACACATAAAAATCCATGCATTCTCAATCAAATCATTATCATACCACTAGGCATCTAATCCGAACAATAGGGTAGGGTCAGTTAATGGCTAATGGAAAAAACAAACAAAGGATAGAGGAAAGAACTGATTTCATCATGGCGACTTGACCAGATGCTCCAAGGTGGATCCTTCGGTGTTGAATGGATGGGAAACCTCCGGTCCTTCTCTCTGACTTGTTTTTGGTCGTTTTAGGATTTTTGTGCTGAACATTTGCTTCAATCCGCTAACACACACTTAAATAGACAAGGAAAAAGGTCGGTCACGGGTACGGTCACGACTGTGAAGCCACTCGTGATCTAAACCCTATCACGATAACTTATTTGATCCGACATCGCTTTGAGGCAGTTTTCAGGCTTCCTTCACGGCCCGGGTCATGATTGTGGACATAGTCATGAATCACTCGACATGAATTTCTTCGAGATGAATTCCCATATAAAATTCACGGTTCAGGCCATGGGCGTGAGGTTAGTCATGGGTGTTGTAATTAAACTTTAGCATATGTAATTTCCCGGAATCCATCATCTTGTCAGATTATCAAAGGTTGATAGAGTTACCTGATTTCATGATGTAGACCGTCCGGATCTTGATGCGGAATCTGAAAGACGAACTTTGGCCGGACGATACTTCTAAGAGCACGACCCGGGAGGTAGCGTGATCTTCCTCAATCAAGCCTCCATAGTTCCTTTACGGGAGAGCTCTCATCTTCCTGATGGGGAGAAGATGAGATTGTTTGGTCTTGTTGTATAGGGGACCACAACCTCAAACTCCTTATATACTAGTTTCACATGGGCTCCCATAAAACCCAAGTGGACAAGTATTGGGTTTCCACCCATTAGACCCATATTGGGCTTGAGTAATCACGGGCTCCATGTATTGATCACTTATAGTTAGCCCATCAAAACCAAATAGCTAATATATGTGTAGTGAATTTGCAAGCCCACTTAAGTGAGGAACTTAAATTCCTAACAATCTCCCACTTGGGCTGTCTAATTTCACGAACACTTATATTCCGAAATTCTATAGGCGCGCAACCGTATGCTATTCGTACGATAATTACTCCTTGACAATCTGGTCCACCTCATGTATCAACTATGGAACCAACGCGGCTTTAATCACGATATGATAATGATTAAACCACCATGATCACCACACCAATACACTTAATGACATAGATCAAATATGGATGAGTGGCATGAAAATTACATGCAATGTGATCTTTAACATGCCTATCTTCAACTGGTCCAACTTTAGTCCTTAGTGCGATCAACTAAAATTCCTTCATACAATGTGACCACTGTATAACTGAAGAGACTTTAAATTCCAAAATAGACTATAGAAAACCATCACTTTATTCTGCAGAATTGATTTAGTCATAATCTATTGAACTACTTAAATGACTCCCACTAAACCAAGGTACTATCCGGAATAACACTCATGTGAGCAATATGCTCATGAAAAAACTTTATGTGTCAAACCATTGGCTAATGGATAAGCTAGCATTAGTTATTTCCTTAATGTTCAATAAAAACTTGTCTATTTTGAACTTTATCTTTAACCACCAGGAACTTGATGTCAATATATTTGACTTCTGAAATCCATGGTAATGATAGTGTATCATATCAAATTATTGTCACTGTTAACCTTTAATAACTTATCAATGTCATTCTAGTGACAAAAC